ACATCTGAGCCCAGTACCTGCCTCCAACTCCAGCTTATACTCCAACGGCTTCTCCTTGCCCTCAGGATCTAAAACAAAGCCCTAACCTTGGCCTTCAAGACCTAGCACCATGTGGCCCCACCAACCGCTCCAGCCTCGTCTCCTCACACTCCTTTGTACTCCAGGCTCTAGTCACAGGGGCCTTTCAAGCCCTAAGGTCTCCTGCCTGAGCTACTTGTCTCCCGTCCCTCGTCTTGCTAGTGCCTTCTCATCCTTTAGGTATAACTGACAGATCTCCTCCTCAAAAGGACTTGGCTGAGTCCTCAGAGACCGGTTCTCTTCGTTCATAGCCCCCCATCAGCTCCCTTATCATAGCTATTAAAGAACTGTGCAATTCGGAGCCTAATGCCCCTCTCCCTACTACCATGTAAGTCGTAGGAGGTCAGGGACAACATTTGCCCTGGTCACTGCTGCTTTCCCGATGCCTAGCTAAGTGTTAAACACAAAAGAGACATTGAGTCTTGGATGAATGAAATATAGTGGAAAGACAGAGTTAGAGGTTTAAGGTGAATTGCCTGCGGGTTCTTCATCTGAACGCTTTGTCTTTGATTTTCCGCCTTAAACTAAACTAGTATCAGATAAAACACTGAGTTGAACCCTCCTTATTGATTGGCCCTTCAAGTGGCCACTTTCCTGGAGGTGGTAATCCACAAAGTTGTTAGCAGGTGACATTTCCTGTCTCCATCTATGTAACACCTCAGTTATTATCGTGTCTCCTGCAGAGACTAAAGAACATGCAATTTAAGTTTGTACACTTAGCTATTTCTGCTTGAATCACCTTTTTCCTGCAGGGAAGCAGAGATCTTTGTAACATCATTCATGCTTTCTGGATTGTCTTGACTAAGAATCAGTTAAATCACTGCTTCACCCATTGACTTCCTCACCTCTTCCTGAACTTGGATCAAAGATTTCCTTCTCAATGCAACCTTCCCTGGATCCTTGATCTAAAACTTCAACTATCTTCCCCGCCCCGCCTCCAACCCTCGATGTTTTAAAACTCCCTTTCCTACATTTTCTCCTTAAAACTTCCCACTACCCTATATATTTTATTGTTCTTGTTTTGTGCCTCCATCAACCAGAATGAAGATCCTTGAAGGAAAGAACTTTTGTTTTATTCAGTTTACCCTATGCCTGACATCTAGTATTAGGTGAATGAATGAGCAAACTACCTGGATACTGCTCCATACCAGAAAAAAAATTTTTTTTTTCAAGAAAATAGGAGCAGAGTCTATTTCTTCAAGTCTCCTTCATTCTCCATTTCTGCTGCTTCTCCACCTTCCAAACTGATCGGATAACCCTAACTAGACAGGGGTCAAAAACACTCAACTGTTACAGCTTTGCCTTCCACAAGGACAGCTGACACCCCTGCTTTAGCCCTACTGCGCTGTCTAGCATAAAGCTCGACCTGCGATAAGCACTCAGGGAAGATCTGGTGAGAGTAAGTGAATGAGTCTGAACTGTCATAACAAAGAATACTCCCTGCTTCTGAGTTTCTTCTTCACATAACCTTCCCAGAGCAGCACAGCTTGTCATCCTCACTCCTGGGCTTCCACGTCCATTTTAAAGTGGCTACTCTAGTTCCTGCCGCCATATTTGCATTCTAGCCATTGGGAAGGGGCAAGGAAAACATTCCTCTTCAGAGCATTAGACCAAATGGCACGTTTCTGCTCCTGTCCTTAGTCACATGACCATTATCTAGCTGAAAGGGAGGCTGGGAAGTGTGGTATGCAGCTGGACATAGATGTTCTATAATTAAGGAAGGGGAGGATGGGCACTGGTCAAATTCTAGCAGTTTATTACATAGACAATAAAAGCAAAGCACCTTGCTTTTCATTTCCAGTCTTACCATTTTTACGTAACTAGTTTGTGTTTGCATTCATCACCTTCACCCTCACTGCTATCACTAAGTAAGTGAAGCGAATTTTGTAAAACTTAAAAGAATTTTATGTGAAGAGAAAGCAATCAGGGAATGTCGACTATTAATCTTAACAAAGGGATAGCCCTTCAAACTCTTCTGGCTTTTTTTACCCACAACAATCCCACACACACTCTTCAGCAAAATTAATCTTGTATTTGGAAGTACAAACATGGTCACTATGCTCTGTCTCTCAAAGGTGTTACTTACGGTGCCCTACCTGAATGCAATTAAAGGCTTGTCCCTCATGCACAACTGGGGATGCTATTAGGAGATCGAAAACCAGGGTGCTAAAGTCAAACAGACTGCAGGGTTCTTAACCCCACCACCCCTGCAAGCTATGAAATAAGTACTCTTTGGTTATTTTTCTGGTCAAATACATCAAGTAAACTGTGCCTTTTGACTTTCTCTGAGGAAAATATTAAACATCAACAGGCTAAAGCTCCAACTTGATTGTTAATTTTGTAGGTTCTCTAACAAATCCAGGAACCTGATAACTTCTGGACAAAGATCTCAAAGTTCAAGGAGAAAGAACAGATACTGGTCTCCTAATTTCTTAGTTGAGCCTCCCCTTTTCTGATGAGGCAAGCAATAAAGAGATCTAATATTTAAAGTGCTGAGCTATCAACCATTCAACTAAGAACTGCCATATTACATAATTCAAAGTATGAATTCTAGTTAAAAAAAAATCACATCTGACTTCTGTCACCTCATTCATTCCACAAATACTGGAGTGCTTACAATTTATCAAGAACTGCTCTAGCAGTGGGAACACAGGTCTGCCCTTGGAGACCTGACATTCCTATGAGGTGAGAGAGTCGGTAAACGGGGTAAAGAAATAAAACCTATAGTATGTCAAATGGGGATAAATGCCATGAAGAATGAAAACCTTTTTTCTTTCTCCTTAATTTCCAATCTCATTAAAATATCTGGATAGCTAGGCTTGATGTTGTACACTTTGGAAAGTCTGCCATTCAACAAAAGAAGATACTGAAGAGTGGACAATGTTCTCTTGGGTATATAAAATCCAAGAAACACTTGGAACCAATTTCTCTGAGTGCTTTCAAAAAAGGAGCTACAGCTCCACTCCGACGGACTGATCAGCAAAATTTTTGTCAAAGAAAAGGAAAGGACTAATGTAGAGTGACTACCCACCAGGTTAGAAGGAAACACACACTACACATGGGAAGGTTCAATGGTTAGCTTGTGGCTTGGGTTTTTTTTTATTTATCCTTTTCTGTACTGTTAGAATTCTCAGCATTTAGCTCAGATAAAAGTTATTATTTAATAAAAATGAAATAACACGTGAGGTTTTTATTGGATAGGGAAGGGGGTAACAGATTAAAACAAAAGTATAAGGATGCTTTCAAAATTCATCCCCGGCCATCAAAACACTGCCCCAGGGACTGCCTCTCACAGAAATTCTACACATACCCACTTGTTACGATATGGGTAATACGAGTCTAAATGCCCCTTCCACTGTCCAGCCCACATACTTGAAGACAAGGATGGCTAAGGAAGCTACCAACAACTCTTCCTTATACCTTCCCTGTAGTCTCATCCTCCTTTCTTTAAACTAGACTCACAAAGTGATTTGGTCAGAAGAACAGACAACCTTTTTTTATAAATCAAGTCTTTATTAACGATAGGCTTACAAATTCAACAAAAACACAGTAATATTTAACATGTTAAATGGAGGGAATTTTTAAAAAAATGCTTCCTTCATCGAACCCTATATACTACAGAGCTCTCAAGAAGTACTTTCTTAAAAGCTTGCCCTACCTGCCGAAAGCCTTCTTATAAATATGTATAAAATCTGAGCTGCATCAAATTGCTGTGCTGTGGAGGAGCAGTAACCACTGAGTCTCTTGTCTGAGAGAAAACCAAAGCAGGTGTCACGGCTGATCCCCTCATCACCTCAACTGTCTGGGCTACAGCAATCTGAAAACTAATCATCTTAAGTCGGAGAGAAGCCAACACCTCTGTTGACTGAAATCTTGTGCCAGAACAAATGTTTTTTTAAAATATGCTTCTACAACAGCCACTGAAGTCACTACTAAATACCTTACACTTAAAATAAAAAGGCGTTAAGAAGGAACTGATTTGCAGAAATGGATTCTTTTGATGAAGTCTTGTCTCCAAAAAGAATAACAAGAGCTTTTATATGTATTCTTTTGGGTTAAAACGTTTAGTTTGGGTCTTCCTCCTTTTCTAGTGGGGAGCACATAGATTTACACCATCCCTTCCTAATGAGAATGAGTTTGCATTTCTCCTATACACAACACAGCAATGGTAAAAGTATGTACTTGGTGGGGCTGATGAAACTAACTTGTGACTTAAAAAAAAATTTTTTTTAAGGAGAAAATAAAACTAATCAAGGGTGGATCTCCTAAAGTCAAGTAGCATCAGAAATAATTCCTCTCAATCAAAGAAGCAGAAGAAATGCAAGAGATAGTAAGAATAAAAACGAGTTCTTCCGTGCCAGGCACTGTTCTAAGTACTTTATTTGTATGACTTCATTTAATCTTCCCCAAAATACTATGAAGTAGACTGGAAACTGAGATACAGAGGGGTTAAGCAACTTGCCAAAGGTCACAGAGCTAAGAGAGCCTATAAGACCCAGGATCCCCGTGGAGACAGGCAGAACCCAGAGCCGGTTCTGCTAAGAGCTACTCTATCTCCTAATCATCAGGTCAACACCACTCATTTACAGACAGACCAAGAGAAGGGAAATTAGTGTTTAAACAAAAATACCCCAGACTAGATCTATTAAATACTTCTTCACAACTAAATTAAACTCAACAAACAAAGAAAAATACATCAACTCTCTTACAAACAGAATGGAAAAACACTGATATTTTGAGCAAATCTGCTGAGTGGAAAGGCATGGTATATCCATTTTCTATTGCCCATGCACACACAGATAACACAGCCGCTCATAGCAACTGGTCATCTCATCCTTTTTATAACTGCACTCAGTGAAACACGCTAAGTCAAAAGAGAGTACACACACACACACAAAAAAAACAAACCCCCCACACACACATTAAGCAGGTTTCGAGATTTATTAAAATAAAGTATTAGCAAACGATATGCAAAAACAAAGTTCTTAAGAGTTATGGCTTTGAAAAGCACAATATAGTAAAACCTAATACATTTTTATAAGTATCAAAAAGGCAACAGAATTGAAACATGTTGCTAGAATTTCATTTTCTACAACAAAAACGGAAGCAGAACAAGTACAAATAAGAAGCAGATCTATAGTGCAGCCATTGGTTTGGTCTTTATCATCTGCATATGCAAAACCTTTTTAAGGGAAGGTGGGCAGGTACATACAAACAATCCAGTTTTCTTGATTACAATCCTATCCAATTTTAAAATAAGTGATTTTCAAAATGCAATTTTAACCCACCAGATTAAGAAGAAAATCACTTGCCCAACTATTATCTTCAAGAGTCCCTACACATAAAATACTTCATGAATAAATCAAAGCAACATCATCTCCAACGACATGAGAAGGGAAAATCCGATTCTAAAAAATTCCTTATAAAAGTAAGGAACGTGGAATTGTTTGGCCTCACTGTAGCTTTATTATAGTCAATACCAGCTCGTATCAACAAGGCACTAGTTACTGAGGGAAAAGAACCTACCCGCACACAAAATTCTCAACTTTTTAAGAACACGATCTTCAAATGAATCCTTAAAGGACAATGGTTTTATGATGATTCCAAGAATTTTCAGAATTGAATTATTGGGACAAGAACCACACAGATCTTTTTCACTCTGCCATGAATGACAGAAGAATCCTGCGCTTGCATCTTTTCACCAAAATATCCCATCACTTGTTTTACAGCAACTGCTACCATCAAGTATTGTATCATAAGCTCTTATTTGAAAAAAAAATTTTTTTGCTATCTAAACTCCCTCTCATTGGTTTTTGTAAACCATCCAATTTCAGGTTAACACTTCAGTTATAACACAGTTGTATTTTAGAAGAGAAGCTTCTATTAGGAATAATGGAACAGAACAAAGGCTGGATAAATACTGTCACCTCTCCTAAGTCCAGCAGGCACCACTGTTTATGCAGAAGAAAGGCCTTGAATTGTCACTTCCCATATATGCATCTGCTGTGAGGAGAAAATCTCCCCCAAATCCCACCGGTATCACCTGGGAAAATGGGTGCTGCTCTGGAGGAAACAGGCCTCAAGCCTGAGATTACCCCCAGGAAGCTGCCCTGCTTAGTATCTCAAGAGACCACCCATAAACCAATGTTCAGGAAAACTCCCTCCCACAAAAATCACCAAACATGCCTGAAACCACCATGCTATCTACTACTTTAAAAGATCCTTGCTTATCTAGCTCCTTGCTATAATGAGGACACACATCTATATTCCTATCTGAGAGAGGGAGTGAGGATTTAACTAGTAAGACAAAGAAGGGCTCAGACCCCCTGAAGTTAACAGATCTAAAACTGAAGTCATCACCGGAAGTTGAATTCAAAATTATCAGAAGAGCCTTCCTTCTTCAATAAGTATGAAAGATACCAAAATATTTTAAGTGGGAAAGTGATAACAATCCAAAGTAATACTGAGCAAGCAACTACAAAGAGTATAAAGAAATGGATCTAAGCTGATGTATTAGATGCTCTCTGTAACAGACAGTACTTAAACAGGTACTATCAGACTTTTTGGAGGTTCTCTGCTACTGGTAGGATTTTATTTTTTGTATAAACCTTCTCCTTCAACAGAATACTATTACAGGAGGACTGTTTCCCACAGGTACCCTTAAGGGTTTTATGTGAGCCCCAGTTCTCATCTTGACAAGAGATTTCAGATCCAAACACTTATTGATCATTTTACATCTTAAAAGGATGTCTTACTCTCAAATGTTATGAAAAGTATAAAGTAGCTATATCCTCTTTCTGTATTATGAGATATATAGCTCACTGAACTACCTAGTAATCTTACTGTGGATTTCAACTCAGAAACCCAGCCAATTCTATTACCACAGTTTCCTCACGTAACAATAAAATGTGAAAAATGACTTATATTCTGATGTATATGACTTGACATTTTGATTGATGTCTTCTTTAATCGCTAAGGAAAAAGTGTTAGCTTCAGTAGATCAAGAACATGCCTACTAGTTGACATTCCATAACTTAAGCCAAGCAATACCTAAAAGACCATAATACTTTATTATAGAGATGCTGATCAAATGCAACTCTTAAATTTTTTTCCCAATCATCTTTCTGTTGCATTAATTCATTACTCAGATTTTGATTCTATTTCTCTTTTTGCATTTACCAAACCAGTTGTCATTTTATTATTTCCAGACTCTAGTCTTTTCAGCTCACATATGTTAATATATTACACAAGCTATAAAACGTGATTGTTCCAGTGGTGTTGATGTTTCCATAAATTTGACTATAAGCCATTCTAGAGATTAAATAAAAATTTAAAACTGTAATTTTCTGAAAAGGTTTCTTTCAGAAGTGTCTTCTTTTCATTGGTCACTGGCAATTTTTTATTTCTCATCCATGGATTTTGGGCACCCTCGGGAATTAGAGAAACAGCTACACTGAATACAATTTTCACTTAAAATCCAGGCGATGGGGAGTTAATCACTTTTAGGAAATACAACAGGCTTACTTACACCTTTCCATTAAACTTTTAACAGTTAAGAGCTTCAATACTGCCCTTCATGAGATAAAATTCCTTAGGGAAAACAGAAAAGGCTAATCACATAAAACTCTGCCAACTTTCTAAAGGCTGTAACATGAATAAAAACAATTTTTAATTAACTCAATTGAAAACATCAATAAAACAATTCAATAGCTTCCACCAGTTCAAGCCCACTGAAGTTGATTACGTGTATCTGTCATTCAACCTGGATGGTTTTTCTTCCTATAAATTTGTTCCAAAGATTGTGCCATAAACCTGGTAAGTAAAAGAATAATGTAAGTAGCTAGGTTTGAACATGAAGCAAATAATTCTCTTTCATGTGGCTGACACAACCCTGGAAGATGAAGAATGCATGTTGTGTAAAACTTATGTGTAACTCAGGCGAGGGTCAGAAAGGATCCTTTTACCCAGCAAAGAACTGCAGGCTGAAACACATATGGCTCGTTTACCTGAAAGAACTAAAGCCACCCACTGGCTGCACTTTGTAAAAGCAATAAATAATGGCACAGAGAACAAAACCAACTGCATTCTCCTTTCCTCAAAAAATGCATTTTTTTTCTTCTCTTAAAAGCAGAAAGGGCAAAGTAGAAAGTCAAACCAAACTAACATTTTAAATAGAAGACTGACATGGCTCCATATACTTTCAAAAGGCACCAGAAAATAGCTTTCTCCAATAGGTAAATTAGGTCATTTTTTTCCTTCAAAATAACATCTCTGTTCTCATGCCATAACAAAGTGTCCATCTGACTGCTCTCTAGAAAAAGAGGTTAAAAGTTCTTTACCCAAAGCCTTCCAGCATGACTGAACTGGTATTTCAGAGTATTTGTGTCTTTCCTCTCTTGAAGACTGTGTTCTGAGAGACTAGCAACCACAGAGGTGCAAAAAAAAAAAAAAAAAAGGGAAAAAACCCAGCATGTATGGTAACTGAGAGAACAGTCTGCAGTCTGTGATACGTGAATATTTTAAAGTCAACTATCTCCACAACCACTACTTATTCATTCAAGTACCAGCCCAGCAGCCTCAACTTGGGGCCAAACTGAAGAGGCTCTTCGGGCTACAGCACACAGGTCCGTCCCTTGCTCAGGGCAACTGACACCAGTAAGAGCAGTGGGATTAAGTATGAGATTTTCCAACATGAGTAACACCCATAAAGCGGTAGGGACTTAAAAAGGCACCTTAAGTTGGAGCTATAGAATAACAGTCCTATAATCTAGGTTGAAAATACAACAAAAGCTAGAAAAAGTATAACTTCCTACAACTGTAATCTATAAACTGCAGTGTTTGTTAATACAAAAGGGTACCAAGGAAGTAAGGATAAGCATCCAAGTCCAAGTCACTTGAGTGTGTTTCACAAAAGATTACACTAGAAACTGTCACGCATCAAAGTGCAAAATGAAAGATTAATGCATGTCAAAATTAGAGTTCTTGCAACATTGGCCAAAAGCAGCAAAGCTGAACAAGGCCGTGCGTGCACTGTCACTAACTATAAAGTAGTACTTACGACAGATTCTGAGTAAATGACATATACTGGAGATCTGTTGTTTACAATAATTTTTTTTTTTAAAAAAGGAAATGTTTTACAAAAGATATACTGAGTGAAGTCACAACAGACTGACAAACATTTAGCTGTATTAAATGTAAATTTTATGACATGACCTAGAAAACTATCACTTTGCTTTTACTGAACACTACTTGTTAGAGCAGTGCATAGTGTTCCTTCAAATAAAAGGGTGGTTTTTCTTACAGTTTCTTTTCAGCCCTACCATATGCTTTTACAAAACAATGAATTACACTTTCTTCACATTGGTAGGACAAAGAAACTGGTAAAAGTAGATCTTCTGTAGGGTTAAGAGAAGAAGGGAAGACTTTTCACAGCACACCTTCTTACACTGTTATAATCTGTCATCACGTGATGTATTACTTTTTCAAAAAAACTGAATAACAAGTTGGTTGGGACAAGAAGGCAAAATTATGTCCCAGTTTAAGATCAATGCCAAACTTGTGAACTGGAGTACAACACTTACTTTGCATTTCTCACAACATTTTTGAGAGTTAATCACATGAACATGAATAACAAACAAATGTAGATTCATCACAAAATACAAATGTATTGGTCACAATTATGTAGAAAAAAAATAAGCTGTAATATCTGTTTTCCATGTAAGCTCACAGTATCTGTACTGAAAGTTTCCCTAAAATTAAAACAAGTCCACTAGTAATATAATTGAAAAGACTACTTCTGCACTATGAGACGGAAGATATGGGGTTCAGAGGGGAGCCCATCTGAGTCAGGACTTTATCCAGCCACTGAAGAGGCCCATGAAGATGAATCTCAATCCAACAGGGGGTGCTGGTAACATCCTGCCGGTGATATTCTGCTCCCCAGCCCTAAGAAAATGAAAAGATATCATAGCAAATACCTCTTTAAACTGTCAACCAGCCTAAGACAATTTTAACAAACTAACAAAGAGATACTTTAACAGTGGAGGCCACAAAACCAATCTTAGGATTCACCATGGAATTAAAAGCAACAGAGTTGGGCGCCTGGGTGGCTCAGTCGTTAGGCGTCTGCCTCCAGTTCAGGTCATGATCCCAGCGTCCTGGGATTGAGCCCCACATCAGGCTCCCTGTTCAGTGGAGAGTCTGCTTCTCCCTCTGCTCCTCCCTCCCCCACTCGCTCACTCTCTCTCATTCTGTCTCAAAAAAAATAAATAAAATCTTTAAAAAATAAAAAAATAAAAAATAAAAGCAAGAGAGTTGCAGTGTTGAAAGAGATAGGATTCCCTTAATAGAAATCCTTGGGGCAAGATATGTTTCAGAATTCTTTTTCTTTTTGAAGTTTAGAAAGTTAATACAGTACAACAGCTCATAATTAAAACACTATTATTTCTGCAGTGAGATACATTCTCACTTAATGGGGTAAATAAAACCCACAAACAACCTCATATAAGTTCACATCAGATTTTGTTATGAATAAGTTTTGGTTTTCAGGTTTGGGATTTTTTTTTTTTTAACTGAGGTAAGCCACTGTAGATCTGATCAATGCATACAACTGTAATTAAAGTAGCTGGGACGAATCAAACTGGAACACTTTAGCCTAAAATTCTAGATAAAGATTAAAATTTTTTTTCACTTTTATTTGCCTGGATTCACCAAGCTCTCTGCTTTACAGCTTACGATAGTGCTGGCCCAGGAAAATTAGGCTTGGGAGGGAGGAGATGGGGGAGTAGAGATTAAACATATAAAAGTTATGTTTCTGGGGCACCTGGATGGCACAGTTGATAAGAGTCCTGGGATTGAGCCCCGCATCCCTGCCCTGCATCCCCATCCCCGCATACTCAGGCTCCCTGCTCAGCGGGGAGTCTGCTTCTCACTCTCCCTCTGCTCCCTCCCCCCACACACACTCTCTCTTTCAATCAAATAAATAAATAAAATCTTTTTTAAAAAAGTTAGGTTTCTATGGAGGGGGAACGCCTTTGGGGCTACTGATAAACTGATGCATAGAAAGGACCGACAGCAAAGCAGCAAGGCAACACTGGACTGTGGGTCTGAATGTCAAAAAGAAAAAGCCCACTCAGAGCATTTCACAGTTGTTCTTCTTCGGTTAAAACCTTAAGGACCAAGTGGATAGAATACAGGATGCTTATATGTGTCACTAAAATTCTTTCCTAATTTTACTCACAAACCATCATCTTCGGAAGGCCAGTAAAATCAGGCCAAGAGCAAGGGATAAACTTGAAAAGTTCTTTCAACTTTGCAAATCCTTAATAACAGAGGTTAAATGCAAGGAAGCTAATTTTAGTCTTCTAAAGAATTTTTTAAGTCACTCCAGTGGGATCTAATAATAATTGAAACTGCTGAAGCTAAGGAACTTCAAAAGCAATTTTAATATTAAATGCTTTCTAGCAATTCAGTCTTTAACCGAAGCTCTTTGTAAACTCAGCCCCTATTCAATATCAAAATCAGTATCATGCATTTTATGTCTGGATTATAAAATTAAAACTTAGACCTACCATGTGGTTTTAAAGCTTTAAAACTCAAGAATATCCTTTAAAAACCTATTAAGTCAGGTCAAAAGTAAATACTGACTTTCATGTCACAAAGATATTTTAAAATCATAACCTAGAGAAATATAATATACATATTTACAGTGACTCAAATTAAGCTACAGGTTACAACCCACTCACCTTGACAAAACTCATTCGAATGGTACACATTTTGGTGAGCTCATACACTGCCTCAAATCCATGGTTGACAGATTGAGCCAGAAGCTGAGCAAACTCTTGGTTGTTAAAAATTTTGAGGCTGCAACTGCTGGGAATCTTACAGACAGTGGTAGGATGAAAGCCATGATGAAAGTTGCAGTTCCTACTCTGAACAAATATGCTGCTGTCACTGAGGCACTCTGCATACACTTCTCCACCAACATAGTACAGGTGAACACCTTAAAAAGACGAGCATTACAAGACTCACCTTAATACCGCAGTATAACGAAACCAAAGCGGTTGTCTAGAGTGCAATCAAGAATACCCACTAACCTACAGCAAAAGACCAACAGTCTGTAGACAGAAGCTACCACTAGAGGGCCTTACACCGCCAAAGATAATCAAGAGGTCTACAAAGGTCCTTAAATAACTAAAATGTAAGCCTCAGGTTGGCAGCTTATTAAGTTTGTCAGTTCTTAGGTTCTTTTCTCTTTGCCAACAATCATTTATTATCTCTATGAGAGAAAGCGAAGGCAAAAAGAAAAAAAACACCTAGGATGAGTCCTTTCAAAGGAACACTTGGTGCTAAGTTAATTTAACTATCACAAAGAGTCAATAGGCAAAACGCTCTGCATTCTTTTTTACTAATGGAGAGTACAGGAGCATTAAAAAAGACCCTAAGTAGGGTGCCTGGGTGGCTCAGTTGGTTAAGCGACTGCCTTCGGCTCAGGTCATGATCCTGGAGTCCCTGGATCGAGTCCCGCATCGGGCTCCCTGCTCAGCAGGGAGTCTGCTTCTCCCTCTGACCCTCCCCTGTCTCGTGTGCTCTCTCTCTCAAATAAATAAATAAAATTTAAAAAAAAAAAAAAAGACCCTAAGTCACATATGTAATTTCAGGTCACAGGAAGAGACTTTAAATGGCAGATTTATTTTACTTCCCTTGAAAAGAATGGTTTTGGTATTTTAAAAATATATATGTAAATAATGTGAATATACTTCCAATATTAAAACTTCAAATTATATAGCTAAAGCTGAAGTTGTTTCCAACTTTTCACCACCACAAACAATGCTAAAAAGACCATCCTTGTACACTCATACCTCATACACATGTGAGTCAAAGACTTATATTAGGCTATGATACGAAAAACTATGTTTTGTTTCTGAGCAAATAAAATGACCCATGGAGGAAGGGATCCTAGAACTGGATACTAGGAAAAATGGGAAAACAGAGTCTAGAATTTAAGAATTCACCAGGTAGATTTCTCTTAAATCATCCTACTGTAATGGGAAAACCAATACACAGCAGTGAGGCATTTCACCTACAAAATCAATGCCACGCTGGCAATAGTCAAAAAAGAATGGAAGCTTTCTTTTCAACTTAATTTTGGCCATAGCATTTTGCTGAATCTCTTCTGTAAGAAATCACATTACAATTACAATTGTACCTTTTGTAGGTACAAGTATAGTTTACCTTTTGTGCAGGTAAAAGGTATAAGTGTACCTTTGGTTCTAACTTGGACTGAGACTTTCCTCAAGTCCAAGAAGCAAAACAGAGCTAGTGGTAAAAACTCAACTTACAAGACAGGCAATACACTCTACCTGGGATAGGTTTCCTTCCTGACCATCTGATGCGTGAGACTCGGACATTTCACTGAGGTGGGAAAAGTTCCTTGTTTGTTGTGGCAACTGTCTTGTGGGATGAAATATAAATAAAACCTAGTTATACCTGAATTTAAAAGGCAGGAGAGGTGGTGGTGAAGCCACTGGAGACTTGTTATCATTCAAACTGGACTTCTTATCTGTAACCCAGCTCCTCCAACATTAACAGAAATTCTTACAAGGCACCTCAACTCAAAATACCATAATTAAAAAATTCTAATCCTTCACCAGCATTCATATATTCCAGAAATATTTGCCGTGTACTTACTATGAGCCAGGCACTGTTCTAGCTGAAAATAATGCCGTGAACAAAGCAAATTTCTGTAAAGCTTATATTCCAGTCAAGAAGACACTCAAAAAATAAATACAGAAATAGTATGATTTCAGATCCTAAGTACTATGACGAAAAACTAAGCAGGATAAGGAAAAGAGGCCTGATTAGGTCTTGACTTAATACATTCTCTAGCATCTGCAACTTGAGGGCAGAGCCCACGCCTCAGGCTCGCAGTATACTCCAGCGCCTTGCACGACTCACAGTACACAGCGAGCACAACAAATGACTGATTTCAACTGAACACAGGGAAATGACAAAATTACCTTTTCCGATATGTCGCCTAGTGTTTTCAATTGTTGAATTACGATTAACATTTGACAACAACCCCAAGCAGAATCTACTTTTGTTATTCGAAGGGTCTGTAAATCCATCTACTAACACGCTAGTAGAAGATGCATGAAAAGCCTCCCCAACACGATTGTTTAATTCATAGTAGACAATTGAACACCAATGTTTCGGCTCTTCATAGGCAACGGGCTGAACGTCTGTAAACAAACCAGACAGAAAAAAACGATTAATGAGTGAATTAGAAACCCCAGATTCTTTATGTTTCCTTTAAGCCAACACAAGCACTCTACGAAAAATATTTTCAGATATTTCACTTAAGTATCACTGTCCTCCCTGGCTTTGAGTCTGTTACTTTACCAAAAAAAAACAAAAACAAAATCAGTAATGTCTTTGAATATGATGATTTTAAAACTTATCCAAATACAAATATAAGGATAGGCAGTATCACATTTATTTTTTATTTTTATTTTAAATTTTTTCTTATTGACGTAGAGTTAACACACAATACCATAATGGTTTCAGGTGTACAACACAGCGACTAGATAATCCTGTATATTACTCAGTGCTCACCACGATAAACGTAGTTGCCATCTGTCACCAAACAACACTATACAATATTATTATATTATTATTCTCTATGCTGTACTTTTCATCTCCAAAACTTATTTTATGTGTAACTGGAATTTTGAATCTTTTAATCCTCTTCTCCTGTTTTGTACACCACCCCCTCCAGCAACCACCAGTTTGTTCTCTGTATTTATGAGTCTGTTTCTGGTTTTTTATTTGTTCATTTGCTTGGTTTTTTAGATTCCACATATGTGTGAAATCATATGGTATTTGTCTCTCTTTGTCTGACTTACTTCATTTAGCATAATACCCTCTAGGTCCATCCATCTTGTTGCAAAATGGCAAGATCTCATTCATTTTTATAGTTGAGTAATATTCCATTGTGTATATATCTCCTTTATTCACTTATATCTATTGATGGATACTTAGCTTACTCCCGTATCTTGGCTATTGTAAATAATGTTACAACAAACACAGGGGTGCACATATCTTTTCAAATTAAGTGTTTGAGAAAAAAAAAAAAATTAGTGTTTTCACTTTCTCTGGGTAAATATCCAGTAGTGGAATTACTGGATAATATGGTATTTTCTATTTTTAATTTTCTTGGAAATCTGCATACTGTTTTCCACAGTGGTTGCACCAACATATACCACCACAAACAGTGCACAAGGATTCTCTTTTCTCCACATCCTTGTCAACACTTATTTGTCCTTCTGATACTAGCCGTTCAGACTGGTGTGAGGTGGCATCTCCCTGTGATTTGATTTGCATTTCCCTGATGATCAGTGACACTGAACATCTTTTCATATGTCAGTTGACTATCTGTAGGTCTTCTTCAGAAAAAGGCCTATTCAGATTCTCTGCCCATTTTTCTAACCCAATTGTTTGTTTGGTTTGGGTTTTTTTCTTGGTGTTGTGTTAAGTTCTTTTATTTATTTTGGATATTACCCTTTATCAGATACCTCAGTTATAAATATCTTCTTACATCCAGCAGACTGCTTTTTCCTTTTGTTGAAGGTTTCCTTAACTGTTACAAAGCTTTTTATTTTGTAGTCCTAATAGTTAACTTTTGTCTTTGTTTTCCTTGCCTGAGGAGACATATCCCATAAATATGTTGCTAAGGCTGATGTCCAAGTGATCACTGCCCTATGTTTTTCAAGAAGTTTTATGGTTTCAGGTCTCACAATTAGGTCGTCTGAGTTTTTTTGGTGTGTGGTGTAAGAAAGTGGTCCAGTTTCATTTGTTCACATGCAGCTGCCCAGTTTCCCCAACACCATTTACTGAAGAGACTGTCTTTTCCCCATTGTATATTCTTGCCTCCTGTGTCGCAGATTACCTGACCATATTAAGTGTGAGCTTATTTCTGGGCGCTCTATCTTGTTCAATTGATCTAAAGTTGATCCTACAACTTTACTGATTTCCTTTCTTAGTTCTGGTAGTTTTTTTTGGTGGTCTTCAGGATTACACACACACACACACACACATACACACACCACATAATCTGCAAATAATGACAGTTTTACTTCTTCCTTTCCAATATGGGTGCCTTTTATTTCTTTTTCTTGTCTGATTGCTGCAGTTAGGATTTCAGTACTATGTTGAATACAAGTAAGTGGCAAGAATGGCCATCCTTATCTTGTTCCTGATCTTTAAAGAAAAACTTTAAGTTTTTCACCATTGAGTATGATGTTAGTTGTGGGTTTGTCATATATATCGTCTTTACTATATTGAGGTATGTTTTCCTCTAAATCCACTTTATCATAAACAGATAATGATTTCTGTCAAATGCTTCTGCATCTACTGAGATGATTATTACCATTTTTACCTTTCATGTTACTAATGTAATATATCACACTGGTTGGTTTAGATACCACACCACCCTTGCACCCGTGGAATAAATCTCACTTGATTGTGGTGAATGATCCTTTTAACTTACTGTTCAATTTGGTTTGTTAATATTTTGTTTAGGATTTGTGCATCTCAGTCCATCAGGGATATTGGCCCATAGTTTTCTTTTTTGCGGTGTCTCGATCTGGTTTTGGTGTAAGGGAAAGGCTGGCCTTGTAGAATTAATCTGGAAGCTTTCCTTCTTCTTCTATTTTTGTAATAGTTTGAGAAAAATAGGTATTACCTCTTCTTTAAATGTTTGATAGAATTCACCTCTGAAGCCATCTGGCCTTGAGCCTTTGTTTGTTGGGGCAGTTTTTTGATTACTGATTCAATTTCATTACTAGTAATCAGTTTGTTCAGATTTTCTACTTCCTCCCGATTTAATTTTGGAAACATTGTCCAATTTGTTGGCATACCATTTTTCATAGTAGTCTCTTATATTCCTTTTTATTTCTATGGTTTCAGCTGTTACTTCTCTCTTGTTCCTGATTTTATTTATTTGGGCCTTTTCTCTTTTTTTCTTGATGAGTCCAAGCGTATATATGTATAACCATATAAATACAGTTAACCGATTTCTGATGAAGGAACAAAGGCAATAATGGAGAAAAGATAGTCTTTTCAACAAATACAAGTACAACCACATGCAAAAAAATTAATCTACACACAGACGTCCCACCCTTCACAAAAATTACCTCAAAGTCAATCAAAGACCTAAATGTACAACACAAAACTGTAAGAGGTTCTAGAAGATAACACAGCAGAAAATCTAGATGACCCATGAATATGGTAATGACTTTCTAGATACAACATCAAGGCATGAACCATGAAAGAACTGATAAGCCAGACTTTATTAAAAATTCAAAGCTTCTGCTCTGCAAAAGACACTATCAACAGAATAACAAGACAAGCCACAGCCTGGGAGAAAATATGTACAAAAGACATACCTGGTAAAGGACTATTACCCAAAATATACAAAGAACTCTTAAAATTCAACAAGAAAATAAGTAACCCAATTTAAAAAATGGGTCAAAGACATAACCAGCCACCTCATCAAAGAAGATATATACATAACAAATAAGCATATAAAAACATGCTCCACATCATGTGTCATCAGTAAATGCAAACTAAGATAGCAATAAAATACCACTGTACACCCACAAGAATGGCCAAAATCCAAAAGTGTGACAACACCAAAAGTTGGTGAGGATGTGCAACAACAGGAATTCTCATTCACTGCTAGTGGGAATATAAAATGGTACAGCCACTTTGGAAGACGGTTTGGTGGTTTCTTACAAAACTTAACATACTCTTACCATATTATCCACAAACATGCTCCTCAGTATTTACACAAAGGAGCTAAAAACTTATGTCCACACAAAAACCTACACACAGATGTTTATAAGCCGCTTTACCCATGACTGCCAAAACTTGAAAGCAACCAAGATGTCCTTTTGCAGGTGAATGGATAAACTGTGATAATTTCCAGTTGATGGAATAATTCAGCTCTACAAAGAAATGAGCTATCAAGGCATGAAAAGGGATGAGGGAACTTAAATGCATGTTACTAAGTGAAAGAAACCAATCTGACAAGGCTACATACTGTATGATTCTAACTAGATGCCCTTCTGGAAAAGGCAAAACTATAGAGACAGTAAAAATATCAGTGGTTGCAGGTCAGAAGGAGTAAGGAATGAACAGGCAGAGCACAGAGGATTTTTAGGGCAGTGAATCTATTCTGTATACTGTAGATATACTTCTGTGTATTACCAGTACTAGAGAGGTACATACCTGTCATTACTCATTTGTTACAATCCACAAAACATACAACACCAAAAATGAAACCTAATGTACACCATCGATTTGGGGTGATAATGATATGTCAAGATAGGTAAGACTAATAAATGTACCAGTGTAGGGTTTTGGTAGCTGGGTGCATGTGTGGAGGCAGGGATGTGTGGGAACTCTCTGTAGTTTCCACTCTTATTTGCTGTGAACCTAAAACTCATATAAAAAATAGAGTCTGCTGGGGCGCCTGGGTGGCTCAGTCGGTTAAGCGTCTGCCTTCGGCTCAGGTCATGATCTCAGGGTCCTGGGATCGAGTCCCACATCGGGCTCCCTGCTCAGTGGGGAGCCTGCTTCTCCCTCTCCCACTCACCCTGCTTGTGTTCCCTCTCTAGCTGTGTCTCTCTCTGTCAAATAAATAAATAAAATCTTTAAAAAAAAAAAACTAAAAGAAAAAAAACACAACTAAGTGAGCATGAACTCTGGGTAAAAGGTGGTATACATTCTAATGTTAAATGCCAGAAGTGCCTACGGAAAAAGATACAGACACAAAATAAATGACCAGCCAAACTCTTATTACTGTAAAACTGAACAATTCATAATGGATGTAATGGATGGGAAGGACACATGTAAATTTTTCACCCAGTGCTGGTAGATTATCTTTCTTGGGGCTGAAATCAGAAAGAAAAGTCAGGAACCCTCAAATTTCCTTTCAAAAAAGGCAGAAATTAAAAATGTCCAAAAAACCCTCAAGAGTGGCTATGTGGCCTAGGTAGGCAGTACAAAATAATTGGTTAACTTGCAAGACTCAGTTTTGATTATTCAATTGCAAAGAATTCAGATAAGGAGGAACAGGAAAAAATAAACCAATGTGGACCCATAAAGAGAAGTCCTAAGGGCTCAGAATATAAAGAAGTTTATATAAAAAGATGGAACAGGGAGGGGCCCACAACCAAAG